CTCGCCGGCCACTGGATCGCCGCTCATGGCGACTCTTGGCAGCTCACGCGGCTGCCAGCCACTCATGGTAGCTTCTGGCAGCCCACTGCAGCAGGAGCTGCAGTCTATGTGGTCGCTGGTGACTCAGGTCAAGCTGTTGTTCAGCATTTTAGCTGTAGATGGCGCAGTGTCACTGGCCCTAATGTGGGATCTGAACCGGGGCCCTGCTGCTCAGAGCTGCCGTCCCAAGCCAGCTGTTAACCAAAACCAACGTGCCACTCGGCCAGCCCCCAATACCATACATCTTAATTACTTTAATTGTATAATAGTCCTTCTGTCTGGTTGGCCAGTTTCCTTTTATTTTCCCTTAGTAATGTCTTGACTATTCTTGCCTCTTTGCATTTCCATATACAATTTAGAATCATCTTGACATATTTCACATACTCAAAAATTGAAATTACATTGAATTTAAGATTCAGTTTGGGAAAAATTGAAATCTAGACCCTTAAATCCCCTCCCCATAAACACAATACACCTCTCCATTTACTAGGTTTTAGTTAATTGCTTTCAATAAACTTTTCAAATTTTTTCCAAAAAGTCTTACATATCGTTTTATTAGATTTATTTCTAGGTACTTTTATTTTTTATTACTATTGAGAATGGTAGGTTTTTAAAAATCACATTTTCTTACCATCTGGACTGGTGTACAGATATGAAATTGATTTTTGTGTATTGATCTTATATTCAGTAACTTTCCTAAACTCTTTAATTCTTATAATTTGTCTGTATATTCTTTTGAGTGTTCTACATAGAGAATTATATCATCTTTGGATGACAGTTTTATTTCTTCTAATTCTTATGCCTGTAATACCTTTTTCTTTTATTACTGCACTTCATAGTCCTAGCAGGATAGCAGACATTCTGTGTTCTTTGCAATTATAAAAAAGGCTCTGGAATACTCTGAGACTTAGATTAAGGGTTGAGAGCTTGAGTTGTGTTGGGCTGAAGCTTTTCTTTTAGATAGTTGTGTTTGCTTCCACAATGCTCCTGGAACACAACCAATTTAGGACCACTTTAAATTAAATTCTAGGCTTGAGATTTCTGGGACCATGCACATAATATGAATTTGGGTCCCAAGCCTGTGTGAAAACTGTCCTATGGTTACTTAAAAATTATTAAGAGAGACTTTATTTTCTCTTTCAGAGCCAAGGCCAAGAGAGACACATTTTCTTGCCTACTGCTTTGCAGGACAGATTTATATTTAATTCACCATTTAATTTTAGTTATAGCCTCCCCTGGCTTTTCATGGGAGCTTTGGATCTAGCTTATCATGTTGTGTAGGCCTCTGACTTCCATGGCTGTTAAAACCCGTGCTGTAGGTTATCTGGTAAAGTAGATAGATGCCCTTAGGGAGGTAGGTAGTCTCATCTTTGGTTACATTTTATGGATTCATGCTCCTGTATTAGTTTGACCCCTGAGGACTTTCCTTACTATTTTACAAGCTCAACTATAAATTCAAAAATATTTTCTATCAGCATGTCTGTTAGAGCATTTTAACATGGTTTTCCTGCCCTAATCATTGATTAAACTTTTATTTTTTGTACATATTAGAGACAAACCATGGCAATCTAGGAATGGGAAGCAATTTTTAGGGATCTGTGGCCATTCTCAGTATTGCCTAGGACCTGGGTATGTTTGAGTAAACAGTTGGTCTGAAACATTGAAAACTATCTGTCAATAGAACAGACTAAAGTGATCTACATGTACGCGTAATAAAGAGAACTGAATATCCATTTTCAAATTTTTTGGTATTGCCAATAATATCCTTTTGGTAGTATTTCATTTTAATAAAAAAAGTGGTATAAAGTAATTTGCAAATGATTAAGGCAATGTTGTAAAGAAATTGACTTTTTTCTTCTTCAGTGTGCTTTATCCAGTGACTTTTTTTTCCAGGTTGCAAAGCGTTGGACAGAATCAAATGGTCTGGAATCATTAACTCCAGTTTTAGGCAGAGCATCTGCCAATAAATTAAAGAACAAAGAGAATGTATATACTCTTAAGTCTGCTGTAAAGAATGAAGAGTGCTTTGTATTTCCTGAGCCAAAGACTCCAGTTAATAAGAACCAGCATAAAAGAGAAATACTCACTACGCCAAATCATTACACTACACCCTTGAAAGGTATTTGCTGAAACACCATTCAATTCCATTGTTCTTACCATGCTAAATAAACATATAGCAGGTCAGAAATGATTAGCATTGCTCTCAGGGATTTCTAGTTGAAGCCAAGCTGCTTGTGTTATTTGCATTAGTTGAAATGAAAGCATATTAGTCACCTTCTCATTTTTCTCAAATGATACTGTTTTTCTCTTTTTCACCTGTATAAAGTTGAATCATAGTATCACAGAATATCAAAGCTGAAAGGCAAGTTAGAGCTCATTTAATCCACTTGGCTTTTTCATGGCTGAGGAACCTGAGATTCAGACATGTGAAATGATTTGCCCAATGTCATACATCTAGGTTTAGACTTTGCTTGCCCATTTGCCCCTACTTAGAATGACTAACTGAAGTCTGCTGATCCTTCTCAGCCTCGTATTACTGTCTACACACCAGCAAACTGGGTAAATCTGTGATGCTCTTCTAGATATCCGTGCCCAGATATTACAACTCTCATTTCCCTTGGTTTCCTCTCTTCGGCTTAATCATCACCAATTATTTAAGCTGTTTCCTTTATGACACCTCAGTGTTTTGGTTGCTGGCCTCGTCTAGACACATTGTATTTTGTCAGTGTACCACTTAAAACAGTGCCTAGAACTTTACCCAGTTTTCTACTCGTGGGTCTTACCAGGATAAGACAGTATCATGAGAATAGAGTCTCTGTCTGCCATGTTTATTGCAACATGCACACTACATTAGAGTGGCCACATTTGTTGTCTGGTACATAGTAGGTGCCCAATGCCTGGTATATAGTGGAAGCCATATCTGTTGAATGAAAGAATGAATAAATTACAGCCTGAAGAAGTTTTATTTAGTCTGTCGCTTTTTAAAATGATATCTGAACTTTATATTAGCCTTTTTTCCAGCAGTTGTGACCTACTGTTGTGTAATGTTAAGATCCTAATGAACCCAAACTCTGAAACATTATCATGTTAATTGTTACTAAACTACATCCTGCCATTTTGCTTCCAGTTTGCTAATGGGGCTGATAGCCAGTTCCAGAGGTCTCCTTTTTATATATAATAAGATCTGAAAAACTTTGTCAGAATATTTGCTACAAGTCCTGTTAATTGCATCCTCCAGTCTGTCAACTCAAACAACACTTTCCCCAAAATTGCGAGGCTAGCCCTGAAGTTCTCAATCTTAATTCTGATCCTTTGTTGAATATGTATCATAGATATATTATCTGAGTTTGTCACTTGCTTTTTTACTTTGATGACAGAAGTCATTAATTTTAATGAGTTAGAAGTTGTCAGTATTTTCCTTTATGGTTCATAATTTTTGTGTCTTTTTAAAAATCCTCCCTTATCCAAAAGTCACAAATGCATTCACATATATTGCTTCTAAATGTTTTAAAGTTTTCCCTTTCACATTTAAGTTTTTAATCTATCAGGAAGGAATTCTCCTGTATGGTATGAGGTAAGGCACCAATTTTTCCCTCATATTATCGGTTGTACCAGCACCATTGAAAAGTCCCTTCTTTCCCCACGTATCTACACAGGTACATGTATGACATCAAATTGTCGTATGCGTATGTCTGTTTCTGGTGTATATTTTATGTATATTTTATTTTATTGGTTTATTTGTACCAGTTACACACATCTTTNATTAGCTGATGTGTGTGAACATGCTGAGAGGAGGGGAAGAGTGTTGGAGAATGTAGAGTGGAATTAGTAAGACAAATAACTGCCTCTTTTTAATTTTTAACTTAAGGAAAAACAAAGTCATAAAAGTAGGAAATGCAAGGATAGCACCCTGTGTGGTTTAGCTGCAGGGCTGATATTATTCACCCAGTGTGGCCATACTGGTTGTTAAGATACTAACATTATATACTGATGGATAGATATCCCCGCGGGCCCTCCCTGTTGGCCTGTTACCTCCCTTAGGCCCTAGGCACCTCCTTCCAGTCCCACCTTGAATGCATCAATTAAAAGGTTAATAATTGGCATGGCAGGGGTCCCCCAGGAGCCACTTGGCCTCTGATTAGTTGGTGTCAAGGTATTAATGAAATATTTGAACATACGTTTACTTGGTTGTGAATACTATGTATTTATAATACATAATAATAATGTAAATGTTGACTTACTAAAAATTATGATAAAATTATAGCAGGAGGATGCAGGGAGGAGATGTGCATGGGCAAGGAAGGAGTTGCAGCAGAGCTAAGTTCGTATTTCACCCAGTAGGAAATCTATAGTTAATATCTGAAGCTGAAAAAAATGAAAGCTTATAAAAATTGATTTAGAAATATAGAAAAAAAGAGCTAAAATGTTTAAAAGTAGTTCTTTCTGGTGAGTAGAAATTGGGTGTGTGGTGTAGGAGATAGCTGTTTTTTCATTACATGCTTTGTAAAGCTAAAAAAAATTTTAAATTCTGAATGTCAGTTACATTGAGGAAATCAAAGTAGAACATTATTTCAAAAAATGACTTTAGTCTTCTGAACAGCTTGATTTTCTTTTCCTCCAGTGGCAGTATGATCACCTCACAGCCACCTATCTTCTGCTTCTAGCCAAGAAGGCTCGAGGAAAACCAGTTCGTTTAAGGCTCCCTCCATTTTCCTGTGGTACCCCATTACCAAATATCAAGGTAAGTGTTAGAACATTTTGTGTGAACACCTACTGGTCTCGCCACATGCCTTCCCTATTCATGAGTGGATACATCACTGGGAAAGTTAATTTTGCTGGTATCAAGGAGCCAGAGGCAAGACATTTTATGATGTAAATATTTTTGATGAGGAAAATGCATAATTCTGAACCTGAGCTTTTAAATTTTGAATGTTAACATGGCATTAAAAAAAAAAATCCTCCCTTCTCCTGTTTCTTTTTTCACAAAAGTAATTCCTGGGTTATTGTAGAAGAATTTTAAGCCACAGATCAGCTAAAGGAAAATAGTGTTTACCTATAAACTTACTATCTATAGATAATGTAGTTCATACAAAGGGTGCCAAAAAAATGTATATACATTTTAAGAAAAGAAAAATCTATTAAAATTGTAATACTCAATATATACCAATAACAAAAGATGAATACAAGTCA